TAAGGACACAGGTGGGGAGGACTTCCACTGCAGACACACAGAGACATTACCCAAACAAGGTGCTGGCCAGGCCATAGCAGGCTGGAAGGACAAGAAGCATTGGGGGTAGGGAAAGGTCACTCAGGCAGAAGAATCAGGCAGAAATTCAAGCAAGAGAGAAGCCTTATCAAGGCTGTTAACACAAAAGGAAGGTACCTTGCGGGCTGGGAAGAAAAAGTCCATACCTCAAATGGAGAGGAGGGACAGGGGGCAGGCAGGGAAGGGGGAAAGGAGTGGGGAAACACAAGGACTCAGTAAGTTCTCTTCAGGAAAATAAGAGATCCTCAGCAAACCAAGAACTTCATCCTGCATTTACGCTTCAATCATTAGACACAAAGCAGGTAATGCCCAGTAACACTAGGAGAAACACTACAAGGCAGAATGTCTCAAAGCCGCCTGTGTTTCATATTCATTTAATGAAAATTAATCTTGAAGAAAGGAGAGACTGTTTTTGAACAGTTTATAGACCAGAAAGAACCTGTCCCAAAATATTTTCTCATCACTTTATTTGCTTTCAAATCTCCTTACACTGTCACTTGCAAGAATAAAAAGTTTTACAGAATTTTATACAACTTTTTAAAGAAAAAATATTTTTAACGAAGAAGCAAGAAGAAAACTGCAGAAGTGCTAGAGGTTTCCCAACAATGTAGGAAGGTGCTGCCTTTATGCTCAGAGGAGGAGACCCAGTGGGCACAAACACACTCTTGTTGGCACTCTAACTCCCACCTAAACTTCTGCCCCAAGCAAGGAGGAAGGGTCAACAGCTGCACCGGATTGATGGCTGGGAGCTCAAGGAGATATCTACTGAGCAGGGTAGAGAGTTCTGAAAATGGGAAGGAAGGCTGGGGATTGTCTAAGTGAATCGATGAGAAACTTTCTTATATGGGGAAAGAAATCACACTATACTGGAGAGCAGTCCAGACAAAACCCCAGATCATAGAGAAGAAGCATACCCACTGTCAGTAAAATATTATCTCCTGAAAAGCCATGTAGGAATTCCAAGAACTGGACTGAGCTGGTGCTTGCCACTGATTTGGCAGTGCCTGGCACTCTGTCTATCTCCCCTGGGGACCACAGTAACCTAGCACTGCTCTGGGGACTCAGGCTCAGCTTTCTCTGCACAGAGCTTGTCCATAAAACGAGCTAAAGAACTAAATCAGATAGATTTAGGAAACAAGGAAAGGATATTGTCTATGAAAAAAAAAAGCTTTAAAATGTTTTGACCCATTTCTGTCTTATCTGAAATTTGAGTCCTTATCCAGCTCATAAGAAAGCCACATGTTTCTGTTATCAGAGCCAACAGCCACTTGCAAGCCACATATATTTATGACCTGGGGCCAAACAGCAATTTTTTTTCTAAGAATTTAAAAGCATAAAGAATCTAAAGTATCACATTAGATGGCAATGTGTCTTCTAAGGATAAAAACCGTGCTGAATGAAGCACTGAATCATTTCTTCCTACACACAAAGATAACCTGATCAGAACCTGCCTGGATGCTTGCTGGTAATGAGATGACCCTGAAAGCACTGGCAGAGAGGGTATTCGCCTTTCCCAAATACTAATGACAGGTGAAAGGTAGAAGTGTCAGCACATCTGAATTTTCATGCATTTTAACAACCTAATTAACATTAAAGGGGTAACATACACAAAAGAACAGGAGTAAAGAAGGTAAGGATTATAAACTACTAAATTTGAAAATAATTCCTTGAATAGTCACCCTTTGACAAACTATTAATTTCATATTTTTTCCAGTCTGATATTCATATCAGTTTTTCTACTAGAATATAAGATGTTGCAACAGACTGTTAAACGTAAGAAATCAAAATGGCTTAACTTCAAGAACACAAAATTACATATATATTTTTTTTCTTTTTTTTTTTTTTCAGTTAAGTTCACATTCATCTGAGGTTACAGCAGGAATATCCATTGTCATGGGGTAGGGATAAAATAAACACCGTCAAATACACAGCTGGTGATACTGACCAGGGACTGCTTTTCTGGAAAGCAATTTGACAGCAGGTACCAAAGGACTTAAAAGCGTTGATATCTTTTGACTAAGTATTCTACCTCTGGGAATTCTTCCTAAAAGGACTATATGGAAATCAGACAAAATTTTGCCAAAGAAGTAAACAGTGTTTATCACAACAGTATTTATAAAATTAGCAATAAAAAGGGTAGTACCTAAATGTTCAGCATTTGGAAAAATACTTAGGGTGTTCTAGGAACATCATGTTGAATGAAATGGGAGAATGCTTATGGTCAACACAGAGTAAAGAAGTCAGGATGAACTGCACTGATAACCTAGTGACCTGTAAGGAGCAGGACTCAGACTGTGCGATCCTGAGAAAACTACCAAACCTCTCTGATCTTCCACTTCCAAATGTGCCCATTAGGGATCATTTTAATAAAAATTCTACAATAATATCTAACATCAAGTAGGCACTCCAAACTGGTAGCTGTTACAATAATTATGCATAGAAAAGAGAATAAAAACACAAGATTGAGCTGAGTAGCATAACAACGATTGATTTTTTTCCCCTCCGACAGTTTTACATTTTTAACACCTTCTAAAAAAAACATTTTCTATTGCTATAATAAAGGTAAATCTCAAACAATCTCAAATTGCCCACTAAAATTTATGAAGTGGATGAGGTAATAAAAATATTAGCGGTGCCTTTACTTTCACATTATCTCAACCTTCTGTGGGGCCAGTTGGTTTCAATCCATACATAGTGAGCACCTCTCTGTGGGCAAAGGCTTTCCTGGTTAAGAGCCTTCAGGGATAGCCTAAAGAACAGTATCAAAGCTATGTGGCATACGAAGACCTTTGAGATTTGGCCCCAGCCTACCATGTTAATGCTAACACGAAACCTAGAAGGTATTGTTTCACCAGTGCTCATTACGCCTGCTGAGCTATGCTCCCTAAAATTTGCACCAGGAAGGGACTACTCTCTACTCACTTTTGGGGGGATGGATATCCCATGGCTCCAATCAGTGAGCAACATCCTCAGAAGCCTTGGCCTTCCTCAGCCACAAGACATGTCTATTTGGAGGCAAAGGCCTTAAAAGAGGAAATAGCCAATAACCTTTTCTTACTCAGAGAAGTTTCCCAAGTACAGCAAGTGCTAGACAGGAGCTAAGTGTTCACCCAGTACAGTATCTTCTTTTTCTTCCATCAGAAAGAGCCCTTGGAGCAGGCATATGATTGCTTTCCTTTACAGACAGGAAATGACACTGGATAAGGAATGCAGATTTGTCTAGGACACCAGGGCTGGGATGAAGGGTGGGGTGGTCTCCAAATCCTGTGCTCCCACCCTTCACACTGCTGGCTCTCTACCTGGGTGATTTATGTCCATATTGTACACATACACAGAAAGTGGTGACACAGACTTGTACCAATGTGGCTGTAAAGAGAACACATGCCATGTTCACAGCACACACCTCTGTGAGCCTCATGGCCCCGTGGTATATGCAGCATTCCCTCAAGAGTAGGACCATGTGAACCAGGCTCCAAGCAAGCACTGGCAGGCTCACACATAGCACAACAACACGTGTGCTCGTTTCATACTTTGGGTCTACTCTACATGGTTTTGTGTCCAAAAAGAATGCTAGTGTTAAAAAAAAAAAAATAGTTGCAGCCAGGCATGGTAGCTCACGCCTGTAATCTCAGCACTCAGGAAATAGGCAGGAGGATCGTCGCAAGTTCAAAACCAGCCTAGGCTACAAAGTGAGCTCAAGGCCAGCCTGAACTGCACAGAGAGATCCTATCTCAAAAAGACATTTTAAAAAGTTGCAAACCACTAAACTGAAAAATAAATTCTGACTTTCTCTATGTTTACCATCCTGATAAAGTATCTCTTAAAATGCAAACCATCCTTTATTTCCAGGAAGAAGAATTTTCTGTTCTAAGACAGCAACACCCAGAACCATGGTCAACAGCCCAGCCAAGACCACCACAAGGTCTGTTTTCATTCTCTGAAGCACATACATGTCAAAGGAAGCATTTCCCTTCTATTGTGCCTGTCCCCTTAGGAAAGGACCAGGCAGCTGACTGCGAGTCTCCCTGAAGGTACACCCTGATCCACCCACCCAAAGAGCAGAGCAGAGCCTGCCTTGATGGGGTGCTCTCACATAAGAAGCTGGGGTCTATTCCCATCAACACCCTACCTGTCCTTCCTCCTGTTGATAGAAACAAACACTTCTTCTTTCAAAGGCTGGCTGAAGTCTTTCCTAGGCCTACTTGTAGCATTATGGCTTTTGATCCCTCTGTTCCCCTGGCCCTTGGAATCAGTTGGAGTTCCTGTTAAGGTAGGTTGGCAGAAAACAATAAAAATGAAGCCATTCTAGGCCTGCCTACATGCCATTAAGAGAACTTCTCCATTTTCCAATTATGACTTTCCCTACGTAAAGCGTAAGGCTCGTCAGGCATTCCCAACCTCCCGACAGCTAAGGGCAGCTGAAACAGAAACATCAGCCAGCCACTGCTGAGCTGTCCACGGAAGGTGGTAGACACAGATCCCAGTGAGTGCTAGGGAGGAGGACTGGTGGGAGAGGAGGAGGAGTAGGAAGAGAAGGAGAGCTAAGAGAGACAGGAAAAAGAGAAGATGATGGGTGAGCAGGAGAGAGGAAAGGCACTGAGAGGACACTTCTGTACTGACAACTTCTCTTCAATCTGCACAGTCACCTCTGTAGACCTCTCTCAGAGCCAAAAGTAGTATCTCCAAGGTTTAGGGAGCTGTGCAGCTCCTCAGCCCTTGGGCACTGTACCCAGGCTCACTCCTTCAGTCTCTCTGCACCGCTGTTATGGTCCCTGGTCTAGATAGCACACTTACTGCCCTGTCTTCACCCCACCCTGCCCCAGCCACACCTGTTCCTTTGCTTCCTTTTCAGTGGAACTCCTTTAAGGCCTGGATGCTCCACCTGTGCTCACCCTTCCCACCTCAGAACTCTGTTTACTCACCAGTCAGGTATCATCCTCCTGCCAAACGCAAAGCCAAAGACACTTTTCTAGCTTGGTCTTTCCTGCCATTCTCAGCAACTTTTTCTGAGACACACTGGACTCCAGAGGCCTGTTGGTCTACTTTTCCTGCCCGCTCACTGCTGCTCCTTTTGTCTCTCTCATGCCCACGGCTGGCTAGCACCTGGCAGATGTTGGTTGCCCCCAAGATATAGGTCATCTACCTAACTCACTTCCTCTGCCTATGCTGTTCTACCAATTGAGCTCCCTAAAGCCCTGAGACTAATCATACCATTCCCTGGTTCCTTGTGACTTCCCACTTACTACCCTGGGCTTTGCTTCCTCAGCTCCTCAAAAACACCATGCTCAATGTCATTGCTGGGCCTTAGCATAGCTGTTATTTCTGCTTGAAAGACCTCTGCTTATTCACGTTGACTAAATCAGACCCAAGTCTTGCTATGCCATAGTCCCTTTTCACTTCCCTGAATAACAATCGTTCTACTTGTTTACATTCATTGGTGCCTTGCCTTCTCTCCGCTAGATTCTAAGCCTTTGAAGGCAGGATTCTGTGCTTGATCACTATTGCATGCTCAGTGCCTCAAACCCTGTCTGACTCATAGTAGTTATCTAATAACTATTTGTTGACTGACTGGTCAGGTAAGAAACAGGGAACCACATTACCTAATAGGCAGCCAAACAAAAACACTCCTGATGATAAGATCAACCAACCCAGAGATAAAGAAGAATGAACTCCACAAATGGAAGAGTTCTCAAAGTTTAAAAAGCAAAGGTTAAATGGCTGGGGATATAGCTCAGCGTGAAGGCCCTGAGTTTAATCCCCAGTACCGGGGCTATTGGCAGGTAGAATATGATGTTGCTTTACGAGAAATGATTCTCCTTCACCAGGCTTTCTACTCATGCATTGAAGGAGAGTCTGGGTCTGTCTAAAGGCTTACCTCATGCCAACAGCAACGGCTCTGTGATGCTTCCTTTTATATAACCTTTCTCTTGTGCTTGTATTTTGTTTTGATGGACACGTAATAATTTTGTTTTGATTGATGCATAATGATTTTGTTTTGATTGACATGTTTACAATATGCATTCTGATGTTTTGATTCATGGATATACTGGGTAATGATCAAATCAGTGTAATTAGCATATCTAAATGTTGTTCATTTCTTTATGGTAAGTATTTGAAATCCTCCCTTTTAGCTATTCTGATACACAATGCATTATTGTTAGCCTCATTTACCCTGTTGTGCCAAAGAACACTAGAATTTACTATTTTCTCACTATAACATTGTAGCTATTGAGCAATCTCTCCCCCGTGCCCTTATAACTACTATTCTAATTTCTACTCCTGCAAAACCACTGTTCTACTTTCTACCTCTATGAAATCAACTTTTGCAGATTCCATGTATTGGTGAGATCACACAGTGTTTTCCTTTCTATGCCTGATTTCTTTCATTTAACATGATGTCCTCCAGGTTCATTCATGTAGCTGAAGAGCTTGCCACTGTGTATAGAAACCACAATGTCTTTATCTGCTGGTTTCCTGAAGAAATTTAGGCTGATTCCACATCCTAGATCTTATGAATAGTGGTGCTATAAGCAGGGTCATTCAACTTTCTCTTCCATATGCTGGTCTCATTTCCTTTGCACTCACATCCCATAATACAGTGGTTCTAATTTTGGTCATCTTTAGAAGCCTCCTACTATTTCCTATGTCTGTAGTAATTTACTCTCCTACCAAGTATATGAATTTGGGCTAAAGTTTAGCTCAGTGGTCGAGTTTGCCTGGGATTAGGCCCTGGATTAGGTTCCCAGCACTGCCAAAGAAAAAGAGAGTTCCTCTTTTTTTGACATCCTTGCCAGCATTTATTACTATAAGTCATCTGTCTGTTTTTGAGAAAGGTTAACTAGATTAGTCTCGAACATGTAGGCTTAGGTTATCCTCTTTTCTCAGCCTCCCAAGAGCTGGTATTAAGAAGTACCACCAACTATATTGGGCTTACTATAGCCATTCTAACTAGAGAGAGTTGATATCTGTTGTGGCTTTGTGTCACATCTCCCTCATGACTAGAGATGCTCAACATTTGAAAACAGAGAAACAGAAATAGGAGCTATTCTTTATATTAGCAAGTGAGTCCTCACTGCAGCAGTACAAGTTTCTCCTCATGTCCTTTTTATCTGCTGATGTCCTGCCAAACCCTGTTGCTATGGTTTGTGTCTTGATGTTCCCCAATGCCTCATGTAGTCATGGGGGATAGGCTTTCAGAGACAGCTAAATCTAGAGCTTGGAATGGGTTCATTGTCTAGTGCTGGGACTAGGGGTGTAAGAGCTATATCTGCCCCAGGATGGGCACATACATTATAAAGGATGGAAGGAGGGTTGTTCTCCCCTCCTCTCTTTTTGCTTTTGATATCCTCCAAAACCAGGAACATGCCCTGCAACACGAAATCACCCAAAAATACCATGTTATGTAAATATACACTCCCCTTGCTCCAGACATGCCTCCCCTCTTATTAGTAGCTCCTACAAAAGATTTCTGCTGTGGGCTACATCTGCTCAGAGAACTTGGTTCTTCACACGTCCTCTGCTTCAAGGGAACCCTTGTCTGAGGGCAACATTTCATTTTTTTCACCTGACATTAACCAGCTGCCGCTTTTTAAAAAGTATCCTCATGATTTTATCTCCATGAGCTGCGTCACCATGTGACTCATTTCCAATTTCCCTTAGAGAACAGAAGATTGGAGCTAATCCAAGTAATTCCATATTTACAGGACGCCCAGGCTATGCCAAGCTTTGTGCCAGGCCCTTTGCACACTTCACCACTCACCCTGAAAATAATCATCACTCCTTACCCAGTCCCCATAGAACAAGGTGCATCAGACCAGTCCAGATGCAGGAGAGCACAAAGCTGTGCTTGATACTGTGCCTCAGTTCTGGGCTCAGGCTCAACCAGATGCTTAATGCCTGGCTTCCCATACAGCCACTCCCAGCAGAGGCTGATGTGAGGGGGATACACATGGAACCCATTTCTGGTTTCTAGTGGCATGTCTAGCTCTACAATCTCAGTTACTGTGACTGTCCTGGAGAAGCAAGTATTCTCATTGCAAAAAGAAAAAAGTGTCAGGTTCTGAAAAATTGAGAATCAGCCTTTAAGACCTGTGAGAAGACAGGACACAGAGTGAAAAAGAGAAGAATCATAAATACATAGGAGAAAGGCATAAAAAGTTAAAATACTGGATTGAAGGTCATGTCTCTTCTTGATAAAAATGGAAACAGTGAGATTTATTAAAGAATACAGAGCTGCTCCCAAACCCTATGACTAGTAGTGGCAGAAGTAGACATAAGCCCAGGCAGCCTGCCTCTCACCCACTGCCACAGGTGCTCTCTTTCCTGCCCCTCACCCCTTATCTGCCTGAGGTATGTGCCTTCTTGTCAATACTCTGTCATACCATGATACCTGGCTGGCCTCATCACATCAGGGCCTAGCACCAGGCCTGACATGTACAAACAATGAGCAAGTTAATGAAGAAGAATAGACAGGTGTTATGGCCTAGATCTAAGATTCACCCAAAACAGCTCATGTGTTCAGACATGGGACTTCTGCAAGGTAACTGGAATGCGAGGGCTCGACTTCATCAGTAGAATAGTCCACTGGTGAGAAAATAATTTGATGGCATTAATGGGAGGTGACAGAAGGAAGGCCTAGCTGAAGGAATAGATAGATCATGGAGGCAGGATCTTGGTATCTACTGCATATCTGGTCCCTGGCTCCTTCCTCTGTGGCTCTTTATCACTTTCTCTGCTTGCCCTCATGGATTAGTAGCTTAGTTCCACCACACAATTCCACCATGATGTCTCTGCTTTACCACAGGTCTAACATAACGGAGCCATCTGATCATGGACTGAAGCCTCTGAAACTGTGAACCAAAATGAACCTTTTTCTCCTTTTAAGTTGTCATTCTCTGGTACTTCATCACATTAACAGAAAGCCAACTAACACAATGTGCTATCAAAGCCCAAAGTACCCCTCCTGGAATTCTTAGGTGAGCTTGCCCAGAGGAGGCCTCTTTTCAAATCACTAACAATAGTAGCCCCTCTACTATCCCTACTGTTTGAGCACTAAAATATTGCTACTAAGAGTGTTTCCTGTAGAAATCAGGAGGCTTTCTCTGGAAAATGATGGAAATCTCATTATAAAGTCATGGAGAGAGTTAATATTTTGCAAAATAATTAACTGCAGTGATCTAGATAAGAGCTGAGATGAAAGATAGTAAGTCAGTGAGCCCAGCAGAGACACATGGGCCTCTGAAGTCAGCTTCAAAGGGTTCTGCTCTGCTGTCCCACCTGCTGCGATTAAGCTACAAAAATAACAGAGAACTGAAAACTCTTCCAACCAGGACCACTCTGCCTAGCAATCTCCTCACAACTTTCAGTGACTCCTACTGCCTGGGGACAAGGGTCACCCCTACCATCTTCCCTTCAAGGCCTGCTGCCAGCTGCCCATCCCATGCTGAAGACCTACCTCCTGCCAGCCCCAGCTGGGCCTCCCCAGTCTCTCTAGTCCAGAAGCCCTCCCTTCTCCATCCAGCCAATTCCACTTGGCCAATTTTCAGGCATTCAACACAGAGTCCCTTTACCAAACACCAATGGACGCCATCTTATCTGAGTAAGTACTCTGCCGATAAACAGCACGTTACCCCATCTAGTCTTCAATATTCTGGATGTTGTATGTATCTTTATTCTTATTTTACAAATGAGAAAAGTACTACCAGAGCCTAAGTGACCTGCCCAAATATGCACAGGTAATGATCTAAGACAGATTGACCATTGATGATTCCCAAGCACTTTTCCTGCATTCAACCCTTCAATGATCAAAGGTTATTATTATCTACTTCTAGCCAAGGAGTGATGAGGAAGAGGAAGTATCTCAAAATGTGATCACCTCTGGGTGCCAGGAACAGTAGTCGCTTTTTAATGTACACCTATACCTTTTACATTTGTACCTTTATTTCGTAATGAACATACAGGGTTAACCATTTAGCGGTTTACCCCCAGGCTTCACTCAGGCAGTGCTTGTTTAATGTACCATTCCAAGCATCACTCAGGTACATGCCATCGAATTTTCTTTGCACAAGATACACTGATATGTTTTATATCGACTACTTGTTGCTTACTTTTTTATTTAGAATACTGTATTTGCTCTTGATGTTTGTTTCTAGTCAAATCTAGTAAGTTCTGCTTATTTTCTTTCACTAAGTCACTTTTATTTCATTTGTGAAAAGTAACATAATTTTGTGTTACAATCTATGAAAACTCTTAGAAGTACATTAGATATAATTTTTATGTTTCCCCAGAACTCAGGGATGCTCTTTTACAATGCAAAATAGAAACATTTGGGACACTGAGACCAAATAGAGAGAAAGTGCCAAAAGACCTGCAAAAGAAAAAACTGACAACAGGCAAAATGATAGCGTATCAGGAAAAGTCTGTGTCATAAAATGGAAAGACGAAAGAGACAGCTTATTGTCAGCTATTCAAAATACAGAAAAAACAGAACTTGAAATAAAAAATGAAACAAAATATTTCAACAGTGGTCAATGATTATAATAATTCTATGAGTGGTGTTGACAGAGTTGACCAACATTTAACAAGCTATCCTACAATCAGAGTGAGGAAAAATATTATTATAAAGTGTTTACGCATCTGCTGGACCAAACAATCTAGAACTCATTTATTATTTATTCAAAACAAGGAGTGATAATTTAAAAATCATTTAAAATTTACATCAAGGCTAACAGGTCAATTATTTTCAAATAATTGAAAAACAGAGGATATCAAAACCAGCACATCCATTACTGACATCTTCACCATTAATTTTAGTAGGTAGATATTTTTTTGAAATCATACCGCCCACAGAAAAAAAGGAACAGGCAACACAACAGTGCAAAGTATTGTTCAAAGAAAGACAATAATGCGAAAGGAATTTAGAAAGAGACTAGATACCCAAAATGTAACATTGTGCTGTATATTAAGTGTCTTAAGATATATAAGAATTTGAGTAAATTTGATAAAAATTTTCATTTTTATATCATTATATTATCTTGCAAAAATTAACAAAAAATACACAATTTTTGGTCATCCTATATTTAAATACTTGGACTTGTAAGTGGTAAAGAAAATCAGATACCAACAGACAGTGCAGAGGGAGAGGACAAGGATTTATAATTCAAAAGGGTTATGGTTCTGTTACTGAGTAGTCATGGAGTAGCTTTGAAAACCCAAACTCTCTACGCCTTGTTTTTCCATTTTGTTAAATTAACACACTTACTTCATGACTACTACAAAATTCAGTTCAATCAGTCAGTCTGCAAACAGAGACCTCAAATTCTGAAACACTTGGCCATCCTGAAAGCTCCAAATCCTGAACGAGGACCATTGCCTTAGCCAGTCTGCAGTGAACCATTGGGAATGACTGCCTGCAGAGTGGTTCTTGTTCCGAATTCCCCAACACTTCCTGGCAGAGACTCCACATTTCACACATTCTGGACATGGCCTGTATGCAGAAAGTCACTATTAGGTACCTGGTGAGCTAAACCTTCACCTGTGTTCCTTCCCAGTCTTGGGTGAGGAGATGATGCCCAACAGACACAAGCACGAGCTCCTACAGTTCAATTGCAAGAGGAAAGCTGTCAATGGAGAAACCAAATTGCTCCTTTAATGTCAAACAATGTGGAAGTATAATTTGACTGCTTCCTGGGCAAGAGTGGAAGCTGAGGAAACAAAGACACCTATTTATGGTTATGTCTCACAGTGACTCACAGGGATAGAATCAGAATCCAAACTAGGGCACCATGTCTAAATTCCCTGGCCCTCAGTCATCCTTACTATTCTTGCTTTCCTTCCAAAATCCCCTCTGGGGGACATACAGAGATTTCGAACTCTGGAGAGGTCCCCGCTGGGACAAGGCAACCATCCACTCTAACCACAGATCACATTCTTCTTGATATTCTACCTGGACTAGCTTCATTCATCCTGGGGACCAGCTCACTGACCTACAACTACCACTCTGAACTGAGAACCACAGAGTGCCTTGAGCTGAGAGACTGGTAGTTCTCTGCAGACTGCCTGCCTGCAAGAAGTTGCTCCCACAGTCTGGTAAGCCCCACCAGGACTACAGAGGTGGTTATCTTCCACCCTGCCAAAGGAGACACTCAAGCTTGGGTTTCAACCAACATGTCAGACAGCTAGTATGTGTGGTGACAGCTAGGATGAGAGATAAATAGGGCAGGCTGGCAATGACCCCTCAAGTCTCCTACCACTCAGATCCACTACCACTCAGATCAGACATGGCCAAACAGATCATTAGTATGGGAAATGCCTTAACCTTTATCACAGTCAGGCACTGTGCCAGCCTCTCCCCCCCCCCACCATTCCCAGCAGTCAATATATGTGATACCTACCAGCAACACAACAAGTGTGTGGAAAGCGGTGTCCTTAAGAGCTATCACCTTTCCCACCAGCACTCCTATCTTTCTAGCACTGAGCCTTAGAGGGGAAGGTAAGGCGGCTCGGCTGCAAACTATAAAGCCTATGCTTTGCATCTCCAGTCCAGCCCCCTCACTGCCCAGTGGGTGGTTGGGCAGCTTCCTTCATATTCTGGGTCTCTGTTTTGTGTGAGGACACACAAAACAGGATTAGTCATAGCTACCTTGTTGGTTTTCTCAAGAATATGAGTATGTTTTTCACTCGTGGTATGTTTTCTTACAGCAGATACTTGAAAATAAGACCAAAAGAAGCATATCTATAACTCTCCATTAAAGTAAAATATTCATGAGGCAATTCTGATTTAAACTGTACTGCTGGAAGCCCCATCCAAGGGTCACACAATGACACAATGTCTCTTCTCTTCAAACTCCAAACCAATGTGTGCCTGTCACAGCCACATATTCCACTATACTACATAAGCAACAAGAAAACCCTGAGATCTGAGGACCCGAGATGAAGATCTGAAATGTCTTAGCTGTCTGGCTGGAGGCTTGGGCAGATTTTCAACATGACACTGGCCATTCCTAAGAGCTAACACAGGTGAGTGAACGAACCAATCATGGTGAGTCCTGTGACATATACCTGACAAATGTTCAGTTAACAGACACAGGACCTTCCCCAAGCTGGGAAAGAGAATAGCATATTACTTGTCATTAGAGCAAGTCTCTTCCAACACTCCATGCTAAAAATCTAATGACCATCTGCAATCATGAAACAGCTCTGTACTGAACAACTGTATCTTTGTCAAGCAATGGATCCTGGATAGAGAGACAAAGGGAATGAGAGAAGCAAAACAAAAGAGATCCAGCTCCTCTGTAGGCATATAGATACACCCCCAGAGAAGCCTTCTTGCCCTATATGTGTCACCAAGGAACAACCACTTCCAAAAAAAAAAAAAAACCTCTCACACTTATCAGAAGGAACACTTATAAAATCCATTTATTGAAGGCACAAGGTACTAGGCACTTATAATACAACAACAGAACAAAACCTCCATCCATAGAAACTTACTTTCTAGAAAGGAAAGAAAGACAGCAATCCACAGACATAATAAATATTATATAATATAGAAAAGAATGCAAGGTACCCTGAAACAAGAAAATGTAGAGCAAAATAGGGGAGCTAAAAGGGGATACTTCAAAAAAAAAAAGTGGCTCTGAGATACACCTTGCTTTACCTGCAAGACCATAGCTCAATAAAGACCCTCAAAAGGAAGGGATTTGGCCTCATGGACATCTAGGAGAAAGGTACTTCAGCAAGAGAGAACAATCCCTGTTGAAACAATAAAGTAGGAACAGGTTCCCATCCTCCAGCTAACATGGGCTGGGGCTGAGTACCTAAGGGAAAAAAGGAGAAGAGGCAGGAGGCAGAGAGGTGTTTGGGATTAAGTCAGGTACAACTTTTTGTACCACTGTAAGGACTTTGGGTTTTACTCTGAGTAACCAGGAGTCACTGCAGATAAGTGTAAACAGGATTATTGGGGCCAAGTACCGAAACATAACAGACTGCAAGGATTCTAGTTAGAGAATATCACAATATTGCAAGGGAGTGCTAATGGCTGGATTGTAGAAAAATCAAAAAGATAGAGAAAACAGAATTTAGTAGTGGATTCACTATAAAGTTTAAAAAGTTAAGAGTAACTCCAAAGTCTCTGGCCTGAGCAGCTAGAAAGCTAGAGTAGCTGTCCCCAGAGTCTTAGAACACTGTGAACAGAGCAGTTTTGCAGGAGATAATCAGTCCACTTTTAAGTACACCGAGTTTGTGATGCCCAGGAGAGTAAGCAGTGGGTGTAAGACACCATTGTGCAATAAACACAGAAGTTCATCATTTGGTACTAAAATTCATGACTTTAAAATGTAGACAATGCAGAGGACAACCAGACAAGTTTCCCACTAAGAAATCAAGGAATCCAGTGGTAGCCACTCCTACAATTCCACCTCCCTGGCAGCCGGAGGCAGAAGAATAGAAAGTCTTACACCATCCCAAGCAACTCAGTAGATTCCATCTGAAAACAGTTGAGAGGGTAAGAATGTAGTTCAGTGAGAGGTCTTGGATTTGATCTTCAGTACTGAAGAAAAAAATAAAATAAAATAAGCATTTGTAGCTCCATCTACGCAGTTGGGATGGCAGTCCAAACCAACAGGGGCCTCCAGACTTCTCTAAAGATGAGGTGCTCAAAAGTGCCCCAACTTACTGGAGTCATGTCGCAAATGCATCTGCATCCATCTGGCAGCTCCACTGTGCCCTCATCATAAGGGACATTTTCCCAGATACTTGGAGCTCGGCCACATCCTCGTGCAGCATAGGGTCACCCAGCTGAGTAATCAGCACAACTCCGAAGTCTCGTTGTCCTGAGAGTATCACTAAGACATTGGTGATTCCAGCTTCAGCCATAAGCAGCAGAAAACATCCAACTGGCTTATCAGCATATATTCTGACGTCACTGTTCTCAAATTAAAGACATTCCTCAGTGTAATATCCACAAGATAATCCCATCAGGCTGGATTCCCAGTGCTACTGCACTGCTATGCCACTTCTGTAAGGTAAGAATATCTGTCCAGGTGTTTGTTAACTGTGCCATAGTCCACAGGGTAAAAGTACCTACCTTGGTACTTTGTACACAACCCAAACAATGCTCTAGTGAGCAGAATATGGGCACTCAACTAGGTTCTCAGTGGAAAATAATTTCCCTGCCAAAGACCACAGGGTGAGGACCTCTGCCCAGATCCTCAGTGAGTCATGGCAGCAATCTGCATGTAAGGATCCCTGGCTGTGTTATCAGCATGTGGTTCTACTTTACCAATGCCCCAAGGTAAAGATGTTCACACAGCTCCTGGGTATGCATCACAGCAGCACTGCCATCCATAAAATAAGGACGCCCATCTACGTTATTGGCACACAGCTCCTCAGCACCACAGCTCTCAGCGCCAGGATGTCCACACAGGTCCTCAGTCAGCCAACAGCACCAATACAACATTTTGCAGAGTAGGGACATACAGCTGTGCCATCAGTGTATGGCTCATTTGCAGAAGGAAAATGCCAGCCTTGTTTCTGAGTTGCCAGTACTGCTAAGACACAGGCTGCAAAGTGAAGAGTCCACTCAGGCCTCTAGCATCAGCCACACAATACAATACAGAGTAAGAAGCTCCATTGGGTTATCAATGTGCAGCCTCACTATGCCATCTTACATAGGATAAAGACATCACCCAGCTCCTAGATGTGCCACGGACTGAAATGAAAAATACCTGCTGTAGGTCCTCCCACAGGAACATAGCTGCAACACAATTGCAAATGGTCAATCAGCCCAAAAGCTTAGTGCCAGAGACATGACAATGGGGCTGCTGAAAGGGCAAGGACAGTCCATTGATGTAGCAACTTGTGGCTCTAGTGCGCCACCCTCTGCAAAGAATGTTGTTCTGGTTCATAGCCTGGCCCCAGCGCTGGAGGTTAGAAAGCTCAGCGAAGCTCCTAGTTCACCGCCACGGAAACGAAGTAATACTCCAGGTTAAGCGCCACACGGTTATCAGCGCACAGCCCTGCTCCACCACCATCCTCACAGTAGGATGTTCACCCAGATCCTCTAATTGCGGCTGCGATAAGGTCCCCATATCCAAAGTAAGGATGTTCAGTGGCTTATCAAAATGTGCCACCATCTGCAGATTAGAAAGCCTGCCCAAGACCTTGGTGCACAACCACAACCATCACGCCGATGCGTGCAGAGAAAAGAAGCTCTACTGTGCCGCCACACCCAGGTTAAGAACATCTGTCCCTCCTCAATACGCATCCAGTAATGCCGAGTTCCCTAGATTAAGGATGTTTTGGAGGTTTGCCGAGGTCCCCGCAGAGCAGGAGTCTCTAGGATAAATCTTTGGTGTGTAAATACAGTAGTGACCGCTCTGCAGGCAGACAGTCCACCCAAACACTTCTTGTGCAACTGCCTTAAGGCGGCTCTTTAAAGGGTAATGATGGCCCAATATGTCAGTGTCCCAAAAGTAAGGACATTCACCTTCGGAGCCGTGCTGCAGTCTATAAAGTAAAAACGCCCACGCAAGTCCTCAGAGTCTGCTGCCGCTGTCCGTCCACAGGCTATCCACAGGCTTAACGGCATTCTACTGCATTACCCGCGCACAACTCCACCAGTACCACCGTCTTCGGGGTAAGACTGCCCATCCAGGTCCTCAGTCCTACTGAGCTGCGGTAGAGTGGCGGTGAACAGGGTAAGGCGGCTCTGCTGGGTTATCGCTGAATTGCTGTGCACGTCACCAGAATAACGACAATCACCCAGGAGCTCAGTTCGTGGTTGCCAAAGTATGTGGCTCTAGTACGTACGACACCATCTACAGGGGGTAAGGATGTTCCTTCAGCTCCCAGCCAAGCCGCAGTCCGCAGGATAAAAACACCTTCCTAGGTCTGGATTGTGCAGATGCTTCTGTGACGTTGTCTACAGGGCAGGGTTAGGAAACCTGCCCAAGTATTTAGTGCGCAGTCGCAGCCTTGTGACAGAGAGTAAGGATGTCTGCCAAGCTCCTCCTACGGTGGACACACAGGGCGGTAACCCACAGGACAGGGACACCTGCTGGCTTATTGATGTGTATCTCCAGTTCCACCATCCAAAGATAAGGATGTCTACCCAGATTTTTGTGCCGCCATTCGCAGGAAAAGGACGTCTATCCAGCTCCCCACAGTGCAGCCATCTGTAGGGTAAAAATGCCAGCGGAAGTCCCACAGCGGTGCCTCAGTCAGCGGAGTTACCGAGGGCACCCTTCCCCCCAGTCTTTAGTGCGCAGTCGCAGCAATGCAGCAGTCGGAAGATGAGTTCTGCCTAGGGCAGTAACTTACTGGGAAAGGACACTTCTGTGGGATATCAGTGCGCAGCTCCAGTACAATAGTGTACAACCTAAGGATGTTTTCCAAGGTCCTTCTAACCTGGTGGAAAGGTGCCACTGCGCCATCACCTATGGGGTACGGAAGTCTGTCTAGATCCTAGATATGATGAAGTCTGCAAGGGAAAAACGTCCACCCAGGTGCTGTAACAGTGCCAAAGTCAGCAAGGTTACAACGACCCTACCACCACCACTAAATCTTTAGTGCGGAGTTATGGCAATGCAGCTTTCGGTGGGTAAGATTGCCGCCCAGGGCGGTCGCTCACTAGGCAGAGACGCCCGGTTGGGTTATCGGTACACAATTCCCGTTCACAACACAAGGTTGTCTTCCAAGGTGCCTGGCGCCAAGCGGCAGGATGCCACTGTGCAGTAACCCACAGGGTAAAATTTCCATCCAGTTTCCAGTCATGCCGCAGTCTGCAGGGTAAAAACTTCCTCCCTGTGACGCAGTGTGCAGAATCAGAAAGCCCCTTCCCAACTGACCTCCGCCCAATCCTCAGTGCGCAGTCGCGGCAATGCAGTGCCTGTCAGAGGTTAAGGATATCCGCCCAGTGTGCCGGCCAAAAAAACAAGGCCGCCCCCATTGGATTACTGATGCGCAGCTCCGCGCCACAGTTTTCAAGATAAGGATGTCTTCCAAGGCCCTTGGTGTGCGGTGACTGGGCGCCACTGAGCCGCCATCCACAGTGTGGGAACAATCGTCCAGCTCGCAGTCGTGCCGCATTCTCAGGGTAAAATCATCTGCGGGTCCTGCAGCTGTGACGCAGGGTTAGAAACTCAGCCCTCATCCCCCACTCAAGCATCGGTCCTTAGTGCGCAGTCGCGGCAATGCGGCAGCAGTCTGGGGTTAAGGATATTCACCCAGTGCGCCGGCCAAAAACGTAAGGACGCCCCCGTTGGATCATCGATGTGCAGCTCCGTGCAACAGTTTGCAAGATAAGCATGTCTTCTAGGGATGCTTGGTACGTGGCAGCAGAGGGCCACTGCGCTGCCATCCACATAGTAATGTCCGTCCAGTTCCCAGTCGTGCCGCTTCTCAGAGTAAAATCATCTACAGGTCCCGCAGCTGTGACGCAGTCCGTAGGGATAGAAACTCAGCCCCCAACCCCACTCCCGCCTCGGTCCTCAGTGCGCAGTCGCGGCAATGCGGCAGCTGTCAGAGGTTAAGGATAGCCACCCCGTGTGCGGCCAAAAAAGCAAGGATGCCCCCGTTTGATTATTGATGCGCAGCTCCGTGCCATAGTTTGCAAGATAAGGATGTCTTCCAGGGACTGTTGGTACGCGGCAGCAGAGCGCCACTGTGACGTCATCCACAGTATAGCGAAGTGCATCCAGTTCACAGTTGTGCCGCATTCTGAGGATAAAATCATCTGCTGATCCTGCAGCTGTGACGCAGTCCGTAGGGTTAGAAATTCAGCCCCCACCCCCCACCTCTGCTTCAGTCCTCAGTACGCAGTCGCAGCAATGTGGTGGCTGCGGAAGGATAAGAATATCTGCCCAGTGTGCCGGCCAAAAAAGCAAGGACACTCCCGTTGAATTATCGATGCGCAGCTCCAGTGTCACGATTTGCAAAATAAGAGTGTCTTCCAAGGCCCTTGGTGTACGGTGACAGGGCACCACTGTGCAGCCATCCATAGCGTGGAAACATCCATCCAGTTCCCAGTCGTGTAACATTCTCAGGGTAAAATTATCTGGCTGGACCTGCAACTGTGAAGCAGTCCTTAGGGCAGAAACTCCCCTACCTAGGTCTTCAGTGCGCTGTTGCCGCGTGGCTGTCAGAGTATAAGGATGTCTGCCCAGGGCAGTAGCCCACAGGGAAAGTATACTTCGCTTTATTATCAGTGCGCAATTCCAGTGCCAGGGTCTGCAGGATAAGGGTATCTTCTAAGATTGTTGGTGCGTGGCGGCGCCACTGTGCCACTCTCTCCAGTGTGGGAACATCATCCAGCTCCCAGCCGCATCACAGTGCACAAAGGTTCGCTGCTGTAATGCAGTCCGCGGTGTTAGAAAGTCCCCTTCCCTCATCCTTAGTGCGCAGTCGTGGCTAAGTGTGTGGATGTCTGCCCAACTCAACAGGGCGTGGTGCACAGGATAGTATCCACAAGGTAAGCATGCCAGCTCTAGTGTGCCACGGTCTGCAGCGTAACAGTTTCTTTGTAGGTCCTAGGTGTGTGATTGCAAAAGGGTGCAGCTCCATCGTTTCTCTGTCCTCAGGGTAAAGATGTCTGCCCAGCTTCCAGCCTTGCTGCGGTCTGCAGGAGGAAAAAAAAAAATGCCTGCTCAGGCCTTTAGTGCGCAGCCGTGG